TGAATCATCAATTTAATCAGTAGGAGATATCTTAAATTATTCGTAATTTATAAATGAATGAAACATTCGGAAATAGCAAACATTATTTAAGATGAAACATCCATAACTGTCGTCTCCATCAATTAGACGCATGTCGTTTCGCACAATCGAAGCGGTTTGATGATCAAGACTCATTCCATTGTTTACTTTATATATTTTTCTGGCAACAATTGATGGTTAAATCAATGTTTTCTTGTTTAAACACTGATTTGACTACTGATTTATCCGCTATTTCCGCTATTTCACGATCAAGACCATGAGCACACAGCGGGTGTGAGTGGTCAGCATGGGGATGCTCACTCCTCCATGGCACCTGATCTCACCTCTGATGTTTTGGAGGTCCCTGTTCGCTCTGCTCCTATTTTGTATTGTTTTATGGACATTGATATTGAATACTGTTTGTTATCTCTTTATCCTACCTCTACAAGTGTCAGCATGTTGAACACAGGTTATCCTTTAGCAGATCTGTCTGGGATGTACTTCTCCACCCCAGACAGAGATAATGACAGAAGCGGTACCTATCACTGCGCCATTGATTTTGGAGGAGGAGGCTGGTGGTTTAACGACTGTACCCACGCCTTCCTGAACGGCGCCTGGTCCTCTACATCCTGGTATCCGCTTCTTAGCTCAGGAACAGATATAAAGAAGATCCTCATAATGATAAAACCGCACTGACTGTGTTACGTGATGATAAACCACACTGACTGTGTTATGTAATGATAAACCGCACTGGCTGTGTTACGTAATGATAAATCGCACTGACTGTGCTATGTACCGACTGTGTTATGTACTAATATAAACCAATGGTTCTCAGTTGTGATGAAAATTGTAAATGTTTATTTGATACATTATACTCATTCATATCGATTTTATGTGTGTAAAATTCTTTGTGTTTCATTGATCATGATAATTAAGATTTTGGTAGATAAAATGATTGATTGATTGATTGTATATTGTTTGACGTCCCTCTCGAAAATTTTTCACTCATATGGAGACGTCACTGTATGCCAGTGAAGGGCTTCAAATTTTGACCTTTACTCGGCACTTGGGGCCATTGAGAAGTGAGGGATCTTTATCGTGCCAACGCCTGCCGCTGAAACGGGGCCTCGGCGTTTAAGTTCTCATCCGAAGACCCTTAACTTTCACACCAAAGTGCCGAGAGCACGGCGAAGGAACAGTTGCTACCCATTTTTTTATGGACTTAAGTCAGTTGCGACCAAGATTCGATCTCACGACCTCCCGATCACGGAGCGAGCGCTCCACCGACTGAGCTACCGTGGACAGTAGTACTCTGTTCTCGCAGTCATTGATTCGGCATTCAAATGCAGCATTTTCCACACACTTTATAAGCTAAATAAATTTGAAAATGACGAAATATATTTGTAAATAAAAAATAATACACGTTATTAAACTACCTACATGTACAGAGATGTTGATTGATTTAGTTATATTATACTTCTCCCCAGTTATCTGACCTTTTATGGGAAATCAGTTAAAATTTATGGCGTGTATAAAACATTTTATTTCTTCTTTATATGCTTTAAAATATTATAAGATTAATAATGAAATGAAAATTAATAATATAAAGAAAGAAAATAATTTATATATATGTATAAAGACTTATGAATTAAGGTCTTAACACGATTTTCAGAACATAATAGGACTTTTCATTAAATTCATAACACAAAATAATATAATATCTATTAATTTGTTACATTCGAATACTCTAAGACGAGAATATTTGGCGCACTACTAATTTTATCGCCCTTGGCGCAAGCTTTGAGAGCCCCTGTACGCTGAAATTAATTGTGCTCTAACACACCCCCACTTATGTTTTTCGGATTTAAATTCAAGACACGTGGTTCAGGTTGATCTATTTAAAGGTTATAGGATAAAACCGGTTTTATGAATAAAAATGATATTGCTATAAATTGTTTCTTTTGAAAACATGTCCTGTAATAAATGTTTCCAGACCTTTCTGAAAGACTTTCATGATTTTCAACAAAAAAAGGGTGGCTAAAGGAGTGGGTGTTAAAATATCAATACATCTTATATTTTTCGGCGAAAATTAATGCCCACTAGTGACCGATTCGCTGGTAAAATATGTGAATTATCATCTACATGTACTCTGACAAACCTTTGTTTGCCTTATTTCCGGCCGCCAGGAGGCGGTCGGTTATATGATATGAAAGTTTTAAGTCGCCGTGCGTTTCTGCGGAGTTAGAACAATTTGAATAAGAAATATTTAACATTCATGTAATAGAATATTCAGAAAGAGTGTCTAAATGTAAAATAAAAACGCATAATAATTATAAAATTATAATTTTATGAATAATGGGTTAAATGTTTTATCCAATCCTGATTGACAGACTCCGACGTAACTGAAGTGCGGAGAAATAAGCACACATGTTGGGCATTGTCTAAAGCAAGGACCGCGTTATATACATGTCAAAACAAATTTTACTTTCTCTACGTCAACAGGATATGTTGTATATTTAATTTAAAATGACGTGTAAATATAAATAAAAAATGTACTTTTAATACGGAAAATTTTCAAAAGTATGACAAAATCTTAATTTATTATCAGACAGAATATTAGGAGATTTTGCTACGACAGACAAGGATAAAGCGCGTTTTACAACATGCCATGCCTTTTCCCGCATCATCTCACACCAAAACAAGATAGAGAAGAAATGTAGTGGCGGATCTAGAAGGAGTTGGGGGTTTCAACATCCTCTGAGTGAGCGAGGAGCCCCAAATAGTTGTTACGTTTTAATTAATGTTAAACTATCTCTAGTTAGATAAGTTTAAACGTTAGTTTTAATAATTAATTAAGTGTTAAAACTACTTAAACATCAAACTTCCGCCAGTTCGTTTATAGTACCAATTAAACTTACTGAGTGCGGGGACGCAGAGGGCTATGAGTAAGTTGCTTAAATACATTGTACATGTAGCAATGTACATCTATTATGTACTGAAGAAAATCCTGGAATGTCGCATTCAAATTTTTAATGTCACAGGGATATATATTGATTAACAGATAAATATAAGAATTCAGTTTCTAATTTATTATACGAAAAAATTAATTAACTGGTTTGCGGCCGATTTTTGACGCTTGCGTCAATGTGTTTCTTGTATGGATATTGTTATAAATGCGCACAGAGGATCTTACCACAAGCAACTGACCAATCGTCGAATAAATAGCGACGTTTAGGCCAAATACATGTTTACATTTTACTTCGAACACGTAGTTCAGGTCAATCTACGATCATGTTAATAGACTGCAATAAAACGAACAAAATACAAATGTAAAAAAAAATATGAAAGATGTTACAAGCGTTTTATTTTGTTGTTATCTGAAAAAAAAAGTTAAATAAAACTTTGTTAACGTTTGTCATCACGTGTTCGGCCAGGAAATCCACCTTGCAATTGTATTCACTGATAGTACAACAAAGGAATTAATACAGACGCAAATCGTTTTTGCAGTACGACTTTCAGAAACCTAGACTTCAACCGTTTTTTTTTTACAAATAAGTTGTTTGTCATTATGAGCATGAAAATAATAATTTTGAAAATGCTTCTCATTTACTATAAGATTTTCCTTTTTTTTCAAGCGTACAATTCCTGTAATATTCGTATAGTAACCCACAATGCAATACACATTTAGCTTATTGGTCAGATAAAATCATGCTGGTGCCTCATTTGCTAATCTGACGCCAAAAAATATAGCCCCGGTTCCCATGTAAAAATATTTGTCCAAAAAGAAATTTTAATTCATGACTGCAGAAAATTTAAGTTTGAATGAATGTAAGAGAGGTCGATTGATTGAAGTACATTTTTACAGACATTATAAACTTATTCTAGGGTCACCGTGGTGAATCCTGAATCGCAACATAACTTTTCTGTTTACCATGACGCGCTAGTCACTTCCAAGCCACATTTTCGTGAATAATTTACTCTATCTCGCTTAGGTCTCGCTACCCTATCTCGCTGAGGTCTCGCTAACTCTCGCCAGAGCCACTGTCATAGCTACTCTGAACTCATCGGGTTTTACAGTTTGCAGAGTACCGAAAAATAAAAGGTTCCGAACACATTAGTAGGGGTGAAACTGATTTCAAAATATTTTTTGTGCGTGTTCAAAGCTTTTACCATGTAAACCGGAAAGCGCGATTACGTAATGTCGAAGGGTCGTTGGATTTCATAAACACACTAGCACTACACATGATAGGATCGATCGAGAAAGTTCTATACCAAATCATAATTTAATTAAATTATTGTTACCCCGGTAGTTGTTTCCTGTTTCTCATCATTAGCACCTTCAAAGTTTGGCCTCTCGGCGTTTCAATCATCAATCGCCTCGAGGTAAACAGTGTGATTACCGTTTATCAAAGTAAATTTCTTTCGATGCCTGTATTGATTCAATTAATAAAATACGTTAATATTCCATTTCTTTTATGTAAAGTAGAATCTAAAAAAAATAAATTTAAACACTGTGTCATGTCCGTGTCATTGCAACATCACGGTAAAGTTGACGAATATTTACTAATATACGGGAGCGCTATTGTGTTTCCTCGCTTGACTTACAAAAAAAGTCAAATACGGGTGTGAATAAAAAACAAAATATCATATCTATAAGCATTATATTTTAATGACAAGTGCAAGTGCTAAAATTTATTTGCGCCAATGCATTCCAACTTGCGTTTGCGCTGAAATACGTATGTGCCAAGTGTTTTCGTTTTACAGTATTACATCGATACTATCTTTATATCAAGAAAAAAGTAATCATTATTTAATATAAGAACTGGACTCTGTATGTAAATGAACTATACTTTAATATACAAGGAATTAAATGTTAAACTTTAATATTCGTTTTTTCAATCAATGAACATTTACTATATACATCTCTAACATGGATTGAATGTTGAAATTACAATTACTTTTCAATAAATAAAACAAAGTATTTAGTGAGGCTTTATCATCATGACAGTCTCCGATATCCCTTCACCAAACAGAAGTGGCGGATACCATGGCCTCGCCCATTCTGCTGACCACGGACCGTTGAGGTTGGACTTGAAACATGAGTTATACCACCATCCTCCTCCTCCTCCGAAATCAGCACAGTTACCATAACCAGCTCTGTCATTGTCTCTGTCCAGCGTGGAGAACGACATCCCGGACAGATTGGTAGAAGATCTCCCCGTGTCTAACATAGCGTCACCTACAGTAATCAACGATAAAATACCGGTATTACAGGACTATAATAATAAAAATATTACACACTAATTGTCAATATATTGTACTGAGAATAACAAAATTAAGCTGCATGTACAATGAAAGACTTGCAGAATAAAGATGTGCTTTTAAATACAATGAAACTTGCAATTATAAGGGCATAAAATAATATGACGTCGCACACAGAATTGTTTAAGGTTTAAGCTCTGTTAATAAACATATAAAAGGAAAGGGCTATAAACACAGTATAAAAACAGTACATTTGGATATAAACAAAAAATATATATTACTTTAACCTTATTTTTTATTTCTCTTTTATATGGGATAAACATTTCAGAAAGCAGCTACATCTTTTTCATATTTACACCTAAATAAGCAAATAATTACTGAGTAATGAAACTTAATTCAGGGTCGCCCACTTGGTGCAATACTCAGAACGTTTGCTTTAGAGTCGCAAAGTAAGGATTTGATCCTTACATTGCAGGTTTGAATCCCACTTTGGGAAATGGAGACCGGTCCCTCGGATAAGACCGTATAAACCGATGTCCTGTATCGCAGTAGATTCTGGCACTAAAAAAAATCCTCCCTACTCAATGGCCCTGAATGCCGAGTATAGGATAACATTAGCAGCTCTCCACCGGCAAGTGGTGGCGTCTCCAAATGAGTGAAAAAATCACGAGGGGGACGTTAAATAATATACAATCAATCAATCAACGACAATGTTAAAGTAAATCAGTAAACTAGCCAAACCAGTCGCCTACAATTTCAGAATTTTAGCTAAATGGCAAGACACCCAATAATAAAGGTCAATAAAACACTCGGACGCTTAACCGAGGTAAGCCTTATTAGAATAGAAGGATCAGAGAGCATTGTATTCCTGCTACCTCCAACAGGCCGAGTAATGTCCTAACCTTAATAGTCTAGACTGGTTACGATGTAAAATGTTGTACATATCTAAAATCTGACCGTATCTATGTCCAATTATGATTTGTTTCTATCTTCCGCTGACCCTTTGCTTACTGCGAACACAAATCTCTATTAAACTATTTATTTACACGATCTGATAAAAACTCTGTCTGAATATTCTGACTTGACTGTCTTCTGCTTAACTTACTTTCGACATTGACAAATATCAACGACGTATTGTCAATTAACAAATTGAATGGTCATTCATATGTCGATACGATTTATCTCAATGAGCTTAAGATACCACACAGTCTGACAGATCTGTTTCATATTTGCATGTTTCACTTGAAAGAGACGATAATGGTAATCTTCCAACCAAGCTTAATGATAAACGTGATGACTTTAACATTTCAATCGTCAACTTCATTTACTTATGCAGCAAAATACTTTTAACGCCCGCATACAGAGTTCATTGTAAGTTTATCTCAGCTCTACGAATTAAAAATTTCTAAAACAAGGTAAATCATTGACAAACAAGATTACGACACAAGAATATCAGCAGTCTCCTTAAAAGTCATTATATGGTAAGTTCTATGGTCGATACAATGACCTTGTCAGCAAATACAATTTATTTTTGAGTCAAAGTTTTGTCATTGTAATTGTTCGGTCATTATTTACACTCTGAGTTGTCGACGGATTTAGCTGTTATTTCCCAATCATAACAAGGAGCACCCAGCTGATGTGACCCGTGGGAAGGGGATGCTCACTACTTTATGGCACCTGATCCCACCTCTGATGTTTAGAAGTACGTGTTTGCTCTGCTGCCATTTTATATTGTTTAATGGACCTTGCGCTTGAATACGGTTTGTTGTCTTCATATATTTTATTCCCATCTTATCAAGTCAGATAAAATGTGAAAAAAGAAATTGACGGGAACGGAAACGAACATAAAATACACTTAAACTTTGACCGGATAAAATGGGACACATAATTAATTACGCTTATGGGATAGCATACATTGGCGTCGGAAGAAAATTAAAAATGGGGGTGAGATGGGGGCTAAATGTAAGAACATATTTTAGATCTCCCCAAAACAGCAGACAGGCAAAATATAAAAAAAGGAAATGTCCGTTGTCCAAACACGAAAATCCTATTTTGTGTGGGAGGGGGGTGTTATGTAATGGGGGGGGGGGGGTAAAGGATCGCAATTTTTTTTTCAAAACAGCACCACTTTCCCAATTTTAAACCTACACTTCACAGTCTCTGTGGAAAGTGGGGGGCTAAACCTACGCAGCAATGCTCAATGTCTACAATTCGTCTATCTTTTGAAAAAAAAAGTAGGGGGAGGGCTAATCTTGGCTGCGCTTTTTTGCAATTTATAATCTTTATCTATGCCAGCCACTAGCGCATTACCCCAAATAGTTATGCATTATAGAATAGTTTTCTTGTGTCATGTGTGTGTAAAGGAAGGAATTTTATAATTTTCCGTAAGGTATATAATTTTTAATTTTTAAAGATTTACAAACTAAGTCAATATGGTGATAATAGCGCAAGGAATGATCAATATGCACTCCCAGAATTCCATTTTTTACTTGCCTAAAGTTCCCGTGGCAGGTCCGGACAGAAACAGCTGATACTTCCCAGCTTCATCAGAAACAGAGAATTGGTCATACAGCTCATACAGTGTTGTACCATTCGATAACGTGATGGAAATGTAGAGGAAAGAGTTATGTCCCTTTGTCAACTGATGGATGACGTCATTTCCTTATTAAGGGATATATATATATATATATATATATATATATATATATATATTATATATATATATATATATATATATATATATATATATATATATATATATATATATATATATATATATATATATATAATATAAACCAAAAACATATTAATTACACTAAAATAAACCAAAAACATGTTTTTCTAAAATAAACCAAAAACATTGGAAAATTAATAGACTTAAAAATCTTAATAATATTTCTTTTAACTGTCTGATGAATTTATAAAAATGGATGAAACACTCACTAATATATTTACAGATGAGATAAATTATATATATATATATATATATATATATATATATATATAATTCATTGATAAGTGTTCTGAAATACCATGGTACAATTATTTTTCCATATTGTAAATAAATATATCCAAAAGAAGAATCAATTAGTAGTCTGAAGCCTGATGTACTCAAACGTTATTTAAGGACAGATGATACAAACAAATTTTATTTTTGGAGGAGATTTTATATCATGTCGTAAGTTAAGAAAGGACGATAATTCTAAGAATTATTTCTCCTTAGAATTGGAAAAGAAATAGACTTGGAAAATCTTAATAATATTTCAATGAATTTATAAAAATGGATGAAAGACACTCACTAAAGGTTTACAGATGAGAATAAATTTCAAAATATGTTAATTTGGTGTCAAAAGGTTAATATAAACTTAAGAAAAATGTACCAAGCCAGGCAAATTTTATAAGAAAAAGCAAAATGGTAAAAACCCATATAATATATCGTAATTTATACCATTTTGCTTTTCCTAATAAAATTCACCTGGCTAGGTTTATATTTCTAAATTTTATATTACGTTTTTAGCACCAAGCTAACGTATTCTGACATTTGTTTCACCTGTAAACCTTAACTGAGTGTGATTTGTCAATATTTATTTTAATATATAACTTATCCTTAAGTAACATTGATATTTGATAGAACTTTTGTTATTTGAGGAGAATGCGTATTATTAAATCAATATTTTTTTTCTTTAATTCTATTAGTTCTAAAACTAGGATGGAAATGAATGAAACTTTGTCTTAAATTTTTTTTTTTTTTTTTTTTTCAAAGTATGAAGAGGAGCAATGAATTATATTCACCTATCCAAACATTCTGTTCAGGCGCACCAAAACCATTTTTATAGTCATCCCAATTCTTATCAAAGGCCAGGGATCCATCTATTCTTTTTTGAATGGCCTTGAAAAAATAAACACATATATTTAAACTGTTTCATTATTATTTGCTTTATCTATATGCAATTAATATTAGGAGTCAAGTATCCCGCCAACCTTTAGACGACAAAATTAACGATTCCAGTTATCAAAATCAATGATTCCAGTTATCCTAACAAAAAAGAACTATAGTTCACTATTGTTAACTATAATTAACTATAATAGTTAATTATAGTTAATTATAGTAAATCAAAGTTTTCGCCAAAGTTTTTCAAAGTGTCAAAGTTTTTGCCAAAGTTTTTCAAAGTTTTCGATAAAGTTTTCTAAGTGTCAAAAATTTCGCAATGTTTTTCAAATTGTCAAAGTTTTTGTCAAAATTTTCTTTAAGTGTCAGTTTTCTATAAAGTTTTTCAAAATAAACAACAATAAAACTTATCAATGCATTAACAAAAGTCGCTAGTTAAATCCCACACAGCTGTTTAATATTTTGATAAAGTTTTAAAAGGTCAAAGTTTTCTTTATAATGTTTTAACGTGTCATAGTTTTTGATAAAATTTTTCAAAGCATTAAATTTTTTAATACAGTTTTTCAAAGTATCCAGGTTTTTTTATAAAGTATTTCAAAGTTGCATTTTTTTCACCAAAGTTTATTAAAGTGGCAAAGTTTTTGCCAAAGGTTTTGAAAGTGTCAAAGTTTTCGTCAAAGTTTTTTTCAAAGTTCCAAAGTTTTCGATATTTTTTTTTTCAAAGTGTCAAAGTGATCCCTATAGTAAATCAAAGTTTTCAAAGTTAAAACTGTAGTTAACCATAGTAAACTATAGTTAACTTTAGTATTTTGTTAGGGTAACAAGGTGTTAATTGTTTGTAAATAAACTACATACTGTCCATCCTCCCGCCAAAGTATCCATGTCACAATAAACACGGAGATGAGGCGATGTGGTCCCAAAGGGGTAGATTTCATACACACCTGTATTAGTGTGACCATTATCACGGAAATCCTTACAGTCAATAGGAACAACTGAAATGGAAAACAGAATCAAAGGACTGACATTGCAAGTACATATAAATAGACAGATAAACAACTGCAAGATCGAACAGAAGAAAAAGAATCAAAGGACTGACATTGTAGGTACATATAAATAGACAGATAAACAGCTGCAAGATAAAACAGAAGAAAAAGAATCAAAGTACAACCATTGCAGGTACACATAAATATTATAAATAGACAGATAAACAGCTGCACGATAAATTTAAAATACTGCTGAGACAGGATTCTGAACTAAGGTTTACGAATATTAATGTGGAAAGCTTTATTTTTGTATGACAAATTAGGGTTTAAACTAAAAATTTTAATTATTTAAAATTCTATAATATTTTTTTGGGATAAAAAAAAACATAACACTTTATATGTATATATGTAAGCAATTTTAGTGCTTATTTTCTTTAATGAATTTCTTTTGTATTATTTATGTTTCGTTGTTGATTTTAACGATATGGCATCTTTTTATTTTGTTCATTGAAACCATTTTACGTATTTATCTTTAATTATTGACAATTTTTTTTCATGGACTCAGATTATATATATATAAATGAAAATAATTGCTTTCCCTATGCAGAACAGTGATGTAAAATTATTCATGCAAATAAAGCGTCCCCCAAAAAATTGATTTTATGGACAGTGTGCACCTCAGAGAAATATATGGAGATAACGAACAGTATTTAATATCAAAGTCCGTAAAACAATACAAAATAGGAACAGAGCAAACACGGAAGCCATTGGGACGTGCACTAAATAACGATACAGAAAACAACAATCGAAGAGATCTAAATATTTGCACGATGTATACTTAATTTTAATTTCAAATATAGACATGTCAAGATTTCACACAATAGTATTTCTTATACAAAATGAAATCATTATTTTAATGCGAACACTTGCTTTTCATATGTAAATATATTCTACTGAAATTGTGCTTGTTTACCGATTGTTTTTGTCATTTTCGACAATGTTAAATCAAGAAAGAAAGATAGATATAACCTTTCACACAAAAGCACATGCTACGACATCTTTAGAATTTTTACTCTCTTTTTAAACGTAAATTAATATTAGTATATTATGTAGATTTAATAGAAAAATCTACAAAAATACAACTTGAAGGTATCTAGACTCAATTTCGATATGTATTATAATATAGAAATTGCTACAAACATTGACTCCCTCTGGGAACAATAAAAGATCATTTTACATTGATGATATTCTGTATTTTAATAATTGAGATTTTACCAATATGTTATATAAAAGACTTTAGAGGCAAATTCTAAAAGAAAAACCAATTAATTTTTAAATTTTATGAGCGATCAAGGAATCCAAAGCTATTTCTAATATTACAACCACTACCTAAATAAATTATTTATAAGATATCGAATTAATTCCAAACAGCAAATTCCTATTGGTTCAAAATGGTATGATGTCATTGACCATTTAAAGTTAAAAATGAAGTATGCAATTTATAGCTTTGTGTTATACATGTATTATTGAATATTTTTTTTTCTTTTTATACGATAATTTTTGCCATATGACATTTGGATTTTTATTACTGCTGATTAAAAGAGACAAAAAATGTAACACACACAAAGCATAAAATAAACCAATCGAAATCAAAATAATAAAAATAATTATAATACACAATAATTAATAATTGAGACAAGAATGTCGTTTAGAAATATTTTTGGAGGAGAAACAATACCTTAGACAAGACACAAAAGAAGCGTTTTTGAAATTAAAAAGGGAAACTATCATGCCGACAAATATAGATAATGATAGACCTCTTAGACCTCTAAATAGTATTATTAATGATAATAATAATTATAACCAATACAACGTATTTTGTTCTGTTAATAGTGAGGGCAGTGAGGCGGCGCAAAGCGCCACTCGCGTAGCGAGCTCAATAGACTAACGTGTACGAACGGAGGAAATTCGGGTTGAAATCTGCACATTGTTCTAAGAAATTTTGTCTCACCGCGTGAAAAAATTCCAAACAATAATCCTTTGCGGTGCATAGCAATATGGTGACTAAAACAAAGCAACAACGACTTGAAAAAAATTACAAACAACAATTTAAAGCAATCTTCATGCCACAAAACTATGGTTTGCGTTTAGAGTAACAGGGATTTTATTTGACGTCATACTTTCGTCACTGAAACGGCTCGGGTATTTCCGATTTTGTCGGAAACTTCCAAACAGTTCGGAATCTCGATACCGATGCCTGGGAAGTGAATTCTTTTAACTCTTTTCTTCTTTTTAATGAACTGAGGATAGGCAGTGCAAGTAAAAGCTTTGTAAAGGTTTTTGATTAAATAATTGCACTCGCCCAAACGGTCGCACCGTAGAACATATTAAAACAAGATGTGTTTGTGAAACACTGATGCCCCTGTTTGGCAACATAGTGAAGATTTAAATTTTTTTAGATGCAAAGTTAATTTATTGGTACCCAAACTAGGGTCTCCTATTTAGAAATACAATTGTAAAACATGAAAGTTCTATCACCATCTGTTCCCAAGTTATGGCAAGGCTAAGGTTTTTTCATAAGTTCAGAAATCTTCAAAATCAAAGTCAGAAGGTTAACTAAAGGTTATTGGTATCCAATGAAAGGTTTTTCCACAAAGATCGTATGTTTGAAGTAAGAAAGCTATAGTTCTAATCATTTTAAAGTTGTAGCCAAGGTCAAAAAGCTTTTTATAGTACGTAAAACTCTAAGATCAAGGTCAGAAGGTCAAAGTATGGTGTTGAATGAAAGGTCTTGTCACAGGAATTACATATATGAAGTATGAAAGCCCTAACCCTTACTCTTCAAATTTATATTGCCAAGGTTAATGTTTTTACATAAGACCAGGAATCTCTGATGTAAAGGTCAAAAAGTCAAGGTAACTGGAATCCAGTGAAAGCTCTTGCTACATACAATATATATGTGAAGAATGGAAGCTCTCGTCCTAACGGCTCAAAATTTATGGCAAAAGTTAAGATTATTTAAAAGTAGGTCAAACTATAAGGTCAAGGTCAAAAAAGATCAAATGTCAAGAAATCAAATGAAAGGTCTTGTCACAAGGATAGAATATATAAAGTATGAAAGCATTAGCTCTTTTGATCCTTTAAAAGATATGATCAAGATTTATTTTTTGAAGGTGGGTCAAACTACAAGTTTAAAAGGTCAAAGATCTTTAAATCCAATGAAGCGTCTTCTTATAAGGATTACATATGTGAAGTATGAAAGTTCTAGCCCTTACCGTTCAAAAGGGATTGCCGAGGTTAAAGTTTTTTACATTTGTACGTAAATCTCCAAGGTCAAGGTCAAAAGGTCAAGGTTGGTGGTATCCAGTAAAAGGTTTCGCAACAAAAAATATATTTGTGAAGTATAAAAGTCCTAGTATCTATCGTTCAAAAGTTATGGCCAAGGTAAAAATTGAAATTTTTTGTGTTTAAGTGGGTCAAACTCCAAGGTCAAGGTCAAAAGGTCAAATTTGGTGGTACCCAAAGAAAGGTCTTGTCACAAGAAATACACATGTAAAATATGAAAGTCATAGCTCCACTTAATCAAAAGTTATGGGCAAGGTTAATGTTTTTTTTTTTTGCGGACAAACAGACAAACAGAAAGACAGAGAGACAGACAGCCAGACGGACACGACAAAAACTATATACCCCCGAAACTTCCTGTATGGGGCATAAAAATGTGTGAAAAAAAGAAAGAAAGGTAAAACATACAATCATTGAAAAAATATTTCCATCCGGCCTCCTCAGACGTGTTAGACGTAAATATTTTCTTGTGGGTCCTGCACTTCTTCATAACTTGATTGTATCCAAAACCGCTACACTCCTTTTGACACATGACAGCACACCTAGTCTTCGAGTGCGCTTCGTTGTCTCCTAAGAGTTCGTCATTTGACTTTTTATTATTCAAGTCCAGGTCTGCAGTGTATATTCGTGAGAAAATGGTAGCTTGAGACATGGTGAAGAAGAGAACAGTTAAATATATACCCCGAGGATCGCCCATGTTTTTCTTCGTGTGCACTTAAGAAACCCTAGCTAGAAGTCCGAGTCCCTAGAAGATACTGCATAGTGAAGCTGAAGTTACCAAATATAAAGAATACAGCCTCGATGTATAGCAAACTTTGATTGGTTGATTGTTCAGTTTTTAATATTTCGCTTTAACTGCAATATCGACTTTACGAATGAAAAACATCGGAACCTTATGCATGAATATTGAAATCTTGAAAAAAAAAAAAATGTTAAAATTCTTTTTTGAATACGTTTCCTATGATATGAAAATGTATGTGTTTAATTTTTTTTCTATGTTTATTTTCGTATTTTTTAAACAAAAAATTTCAATTGATTAGGATTAATAAAAGTGTGTTTATTTAATATATATATACATATATTAATTTTTTAAAATTGATATATTTCTTTAAAAAATGAAATACCTAAAAAAGAAAAAAAAAGACTTTCTTTTTTTGATCTTAATATTCGACGTGTTCCACACATTCAATTTGTACCATTAATGCTTTAAACACAACTTATTGATGAGTTGAAAGCTATTATAGTATGACAATATTTGTAATATATCAGTCACTTTATTAATCAAGTGTTTTTAAACTTTAATTGTAATGTAAATACATGCTGGAACCAGATCAAATGTACCATAAGTCCTTATTTAAAAAAAAAAATAATAATTGCAAAAAGAATTATGATAACGTTCAATGATCGATCTCCTGCATTCATAAATAAATAAAATTTATGAAGAGCATAAATTGGACCCATGACAATTTTAAATACAGGAAAAAGTTCAAGGAAGTTCTTTTAAAATTTAAAATCTATTTATATTTTATAAAAATCAAAATATTTAGTATTTATTATTATTAATATATATTAATTAATAATTAATTGTCCTCAGGTGTCCACCAGTTACCATGTCTAATGATTTTGTTGTTAACATTAAACATGTTTGAAATACACGATTTAATTTATTTAACGAAAGATATGGCAGATAAGGTCAGAAGAAGGTATTTTTATGATTAAAAATAATTACCTCATGAAAAAATTACTTTAATATTGCCGTCTTAAAGCACCATAGAGAACTTCCTTTATTTCATAGGAACAAGACAACCTAAAAATCTTTAAAACAACTTTTTCT